GTTTCTCGCTTTCCGATTACATAATCATTTCTGGTGTGATCACGTCGGCGATCACCCACCTTCACGTCTCATTGTATTGCGTTATTATAACACGTTAAACCTAAACCAGACACAGCATGTCCTAATAAATCCAACACGTCAGATGGATTATCCGCTATTATTTGTGACATTACATTGAAAAGTGCATCATTCAAAGGTTTTGAGAGTTTCGAACGATACACTAATATTTTAAATAGGAATAAAAATGACTAGATGCGTCTGCGTGAATATAAAAATGCGTAAATATCGTCAATAATTTTAGATATGACACGCATTCAGATATAGAAAAAAAAAAGCATAACTCGTCAGTTATCAATCAAATATATATAAAAGTAAAATCTTTTTCTCTATAAGAAACTTTTTATCTTTTTTATAGTACTAAAACTTTCGTTGTGTTCCGTTATTATATGAAAAGAGCGCGGCGCGCTTTCTACATAATAATATAAATATCATCCTATTGTTGATCCAACCGGTGCTTCCAGTCTCTCTCGCGGTGACACAGTTTCTACTCTGTCTCTATTTTTTCGCGGATGCAGAAAGCGAGCACTTTATTGAACGATCCGCGTCAATTTCACCGTTCGCAGCAGCCGACCGAGTGAGAATAGCGGGGAGAAATTATCGGCATGCTTGTGCATCCGGATGATATACGCTAACAAACGTGGGAAGGAAGTGCGTATATACGCATTCTAACTGCCACGTTAGCGACACGCGAGACGATGCACTTTCCACGGACGCAGAAAAACTAGATGCGTCTAAACGACCGTGAGAAAGGTTGAATCGCGACGTATTGTGCGTAATACCGTTTGTTAGCAGTCGCTATGTTGTTCATACATTTTCTACGAAGGAGAGTGGAATGCTTCTTGTAAATTATACCTTGTAGAAAGATGATAATTTTTACCATCATCACGATTTGTAATGAAACTTGGAATTGTCTTTCTTTGATAAAAATTAAGGACTAGAATTTACAAAATTTATATAATATATTTGTAAATGTGTGAATTTTATAAAGATAGAAATAATAAAATCTCTCTAGGTGTGTCTCATTTAAACTGAAGACCTTTTGGCTACTCTTTCCTCTTTTCAATTGTTAAAAATTTAGATTTTACCATACATACTTATTTCTGAGTTTTTTTATGGAAATATGTAATAGTAACTATTGTGTGATTAATGTGATAAAAATTAGGATAGATAACGAAAAAGAAAAAATCAAATTTTTATATGATAATAAAAATGTCATTTTATACCATAGTGACGACGTCTCGCTCGTGCAATCGCAAGTTATCGCCGGGGAACAGTTCCTGGATACGATGAAGGTCACCTTCTAATTGACCACGGTGTAAAACTGTCCCGCTATCAATGCATTCGCTATCTATCAAATTCCTCGCTTCCTGTCCCAAGTACCTCTCGTAGTCGGCAAGCCTCTGCACCTGCGCAAATAAAATATGCATCGTAAAGCTCATAATATCGTACAAAAACGTGAACAAGAAAAAATCAATGCGTTACATATCAATCCCTCTTGGGAAATCTTTTTACGATTATGATATGTAATAAGGGGATAGAATCGTTCAACTTTCCGCGATTGCATCGACAGCTTTTGCATAACTCTCCAATAATTTTCGATAAACTACTTGAGACACGGTATTTCCAAAGGTATTACGAAAACAGGAAAAGGAAGCGTCGCGACGAAGTCACGCGACTTTTCTTAATATCGATTTTACGCTAGACAGCGCATGCAATATCGTTCTGACGATCGCCATCGAAGACGGAAATAAAAAAGAAACGTCAAGACGGGATCGCACACGGTTTCGGAAACGCACTCCGCGATTTGTTTCTTTTCGCTACAACGAGCGCGATAATTGTCATTCATGTGCGTTACATAAATTGTCAATATGTCATTTCATGTACATACGATTGTATTCATGTCTAGTCAATGATTGAATCAACCTATAACTTGATTCGTGTTGCAACGTACCTAATTATTGAAACGTATGCAGTTTCAACAGATTTATATCATAATCGTTAGTAATATTATAAACATCTATTTTATCAATAATATATGTACACTGTTTGATAAGAATAAAAATTGAAAGGAATTCAATATTTTAGTAATCGATATTTAAGTGATCATCTAATTATATCATCTTTTTTATTTGCTTAGTATCAGAAAAATAAAAGTATATGAATCTTAATATTTCAAACGTTAAATGTTTTATATAAAGATACAATTAATGATAGTATCAAAATATAAAAAATAGAATTCATATGTAAACATTGACCCACAAAGAAACTGTTGTTACGCGGATTATTTATTTCACAAAATTATTATTACTGTGAATATCTCATGTATGCGGGCAAATCCTGTGGCTTTAATAACGAACCAACCACCAGTGTATTCTGACACGACATTAGATCTGTCAAAATTCGTCGGTGACACTCGATTATCCTGATTGATGGTCGCTCGCTATGAATGGCTGATTCGTTTCTTAATTATCATAACGTGGCAGGTAGTTACTGTGCTCAAGGAAATGTGCACGAGTAGGCGGCCGTTGATGGCTCTTAAACATGTTCTGAATTAATTCGCAGTTACCGCAAAATATCGCCGCTAGCGAAATTCGAACGTGATCGCCACCACTGCCGTCTCGTAAAATCACAAGATGATGTTTCTCGAGGATGCGCAGTATCCGCGATATTGCGCCTCGATATATTAAACGCTATTTCAGTATATTAATTTAAGCAACGTGTGTGTGTGTGTGTGTGTGTGTGTGTGTGTGTGTGTGTGTGTATGACGAAATAACGTTAAGTACTAACGTGAAATTTGGAGAAAGTTTGAGAGAAACGTTTAAACAGAATATAATAAAGTTTATGAAATTTCAGTCGAAAATTTTTTGATATAATAATTTACAAAATAATACAATTTTTTATATTAATAAGAAAATCGCGTTTTACTTTACAGACAATAAAAAGTTAAAACAGATTATCTCAACCTTCTCGAGAGATAAATAGGAAATAAGTAAAGTCCTTTAAGAATATATACTTTAATAAGTACTTATATTAGGTCTACCGGAAAGTTCTGTCCGTTTTTGGAATAAAACAAAATACAAATTTTTATTACCGTCAATAAACTTTATTAAATAATGTAATTGCCATTATTCGGAGAAGTATTGTCAGCAACTGGATAATTTAAATACAGCAGTCCAAGAAAAGAGGCCGGCGATGTTCAATAGGAAGAACATCATACCGCATCATGATAATGCCAGGCCACATGCTGCTTTGGGGACTCGTCAAAAAAGTGCAGAACTAGGCTGGGAAATTCTGTCACATCCACCATATTCCCCGGACTTAGCACCCTCCGACTATCACTTGTTTTTGTCCCTACAAAATTTTTTGAGGGGCAAAAAATTCAAAAAGGAACAAGATATCAAACAAGCACTGGTTCGCATCAAAAGATAAAACATTTTTCGAAAATGGGATATACAAATTGCCCTCACGCTGGCAAGAAATCATTAATAATAATGGAAATTACATTATTTAATAAAGTTTATTGACGGTAATAAAAATTTGTATTTTGTTTTATTCCAAAAACGGACAGAACTTTCCGGTAGACCTGATACATGTGTATTATGAATACTCTTGGGCGTGATTTTATAATAAACGCCGCTACACATTTGTTCATTATTGTTGCAGCGTTTTCTCTTTCACATGTAATTTTCATAATTCGACGTTCGAGTGAGATAGTTGTTATCGACATTCCCTCGAACGTGCAACCGCGTGTATTCGCGAATGGGGAATTTAGCGTAGTCTTTCTCGCCTCTCTCGTTTTCTTTCGTTCCTGTTCCCATCGGCATTGTTTCAAACCTCGCCACGTACGCGTACTTTTACGCGCCGGCATCGTTTTCCCCTTTTCGCACACTTTCACCACATGTCGTATCGAGATTATGTCGCTTGACGAACATAGGCTCGGCATAGCTCTAGGCACGCCGTAATCGATCATAAACGATCATCGATATCGACATGTTTCGATCGAGAGTTTTATAAGAAAAATTGAAATAACTCATTTTTGAGAGAATTTATATTACTATTTTAATCATTTAAAAAATTATTGAAATAAATTATTATGTGCGATAATTATTAACTATTCAAACTTGCAGGAATTGCAAATTCTTTATACGAAGAGGAGTTCTATAAGAATTCGGGGAATTCTTTGGGGGGAGAAAGTAGCCTCCACAAAGGGATCTTCATTAATGCCACAAGCGGCGAGTCAAGATTCCGTTACGCATATTAAAGGGTTATACAAAAACACTGTATCGCAAATTCACTCGAGGTAAGGATACAGAAATATAAGGAAACCGAAACAGATGGGGAAGATAATTCATTCGTTCCGGAAGCCACGCAATTTCGGCGAATGCGATTCTGGCGGAAGCACGGATAAATTATTTAGCTTTTACGCGTATGTGTTGAACTTTAAAACTATATATTTGGAAAATGCGTACAACTCAGATATACAGACTTTAAAGAAAGATACATAAAGAAAAAGATTTCGTGACGAGAATCTTTTTGCGTAAAAAGAATGGAAATATTTACCATTCACGAATTAAGAGAATGTTATACACGGTACGTATCTCTATACAATTCTTTCAGTCGCCAAGATGCTATAATCAATTATATCATACTTCTTTTTGAATCTCTTCTTTTTTTCGTTTAGAACTCTCCGAGTCTTCTCTCATCCGTAAGTATCATAGATCGTCGATTTCTGCCTCTCCTCTCGACAGCAAACACGAAATATTAATTCGTCACGACTTATTATGCCGGCTCGCGGTCGATGGATCTGTTCGGCCGAGTGTATAATCGTTTCTCTAGCAACGATCAATCATTTAATCAGTCATCGAAGGAACGAAAAAAAGAGAAAGCATATACCAAACGCGTTGAATGATGACGAAGAGGATCTGAGGATACGCGACCGGCTGTCCATCTTTTTTGCTCGCTTTTATGCGCGACGTCGCAATAAATGTGCACGCTCCATCGGACGATTTGAATATCGTCGCGGTGCGTATATCCGATTCTATAAATGTGGCTGATCATACCTGTATCCACTTTTTTTTGACACATACAAGCATATCTAAAAAATATATGTACCGTTAGCATTGACGGAGAGCGACCTCGCGAGAGACGACTACCTCGGGCGGCGTTATTTACCTCAGCAGCGGGTATGCTTACATCTCACGTGTCTGCAATATCGCGCGAAATCTTTCAGAGCTTCCTCACAGGATTCTCTGACGCGTTATGCACGTGCAACGGTAAATCGCGGAACAAAATTCCGCTGTGACAGAAGCGCGCTATTCTTCCGAACCCGAGAGCTATCACACGTGGAATGCACGTGGAGGAAATGAGAGAACGGTAAGTCCTTATGTGTGATAAGTGGTAGAAACTTAAAAAAAAATTTTCAACGAGACGCATTATATGAAAACTGCATTTTAAGCGCAAACATTTTTAATTGACCAATTTTCTTTCTATGTTTTATGGCTTTAATTACGAAACAAATTATTGTTACTACAAATTGTAAACAAAAATGCTATCACTTTCTGTATCGAAAACTTGGTTTATTAAAAGTAGGTTCACATAAGTTGACGCAAGACTCGCAGAGCACGCGGAATGTAACTTGCATCGGTATCTCGATATTACGAGAGCGCATACATTGCTATGCTGATATAGGGTGTCTCGCAAAAATTTTCTAACGAAACATTATCTTATTTTATATCCGATTCGCGATCTATTCTTTCCTAAGGAAAATCGTATCCAAAGTTTGATCAGAAGAGAAATATCCGAAAGCAGGAGAATATTAGAACTACCGTAAAGAAATCGAAAGAGTAAATCTGAAGTTTTTTTTACAGGAGAGCCGCGTTTATTAGACATAATTCAGAAATGATGATAAATAGATGTGTAAGATTAAACGCTGTCCCGGCAAAAATAGACTCTCGTGCTGATCAGGAGACACCCTGTATATGTATATACGCGGGACAAATTGCTGCGGCGTGACGCAACGTCGAGAACACCTGTCTCGACGTTACAAAACCCGCTTCCTGGGGCAGCGTTTCACGCACGTACATGAGCAGCGTGCCTAGATGTGGAGCCACGAGCAAAGGTTCGCCGCTCCATGGATCGGAATATTGATACGCTCGTCCTAGGAAAAATTGATATATCGGTGCATGCAAATGAACCGAGGCTGAAGTGAAGCGCAAAGTAGAAAAATCGATGAGCCACGTTGAGAGGAAGTTCGCATAGATATATTCAGAAATTTCAGATACCTAATATTCGTTTTTTTTTTTTTTTACGAGAGTCTCGACAGGATTTATGTGAATACGAATAATCTGTCAAAATATTAGATAACATTGCATCACATGCGCGTAACAAGTTCCAAAGAGATTATACA